ATTGTTGATGCTATGACAGATGCTTCTGCGATACTTGCTCATCGAACACTTGTTTCCTCGAGTCAAGTATGGGTGTAGGTGTAAGTGCACATGTGATCAACATTCATACTCACATGCACAGACTTCCCATACTCGTAGTTGTGTCGCGAGAGCATCTGTCTAGGGAACCATATTAATGTTATCCATATTGTCACACGTTCGATCTATGACCAGATGTGATTCTGTTCAAATTTTTTAATACAATATCCAATTAGTACAATTTCATAAGTAGCACTTTTTTTGTGAAAAGTTGATCAACTAATAAAGATTTTAGTAAAATATTTCTCGTTTACTTTAGGCGTTCTATCGTCATTTCATCCTGCAATGGCAGTCGTTGAAAGTGCGCAAAAGATGACTCTTCTATCATATATTTTTATGCAAATTTTTTATTATGTAAAAACGTTTATTATGATAGAAAAAATATATGCCCAGCCCGATATTTTAGAATTAGATGCTTTTATTTATTTAGAAGATAAGCATGAATGTTGATTAGTTTTTCTTCCGAGCTCAATCACTGATGTATTGACTAAGAGATGCTTTATTCGATGTTGACTTTTGTCCGAATCATGGACTAGAGAAATAAATCGAATTTTCTTTTTATAGTTGCACACAACTAAGTCCGAGAAAGATGACGATAATGCTTCATTTATTGCTATATCAATATAAAAATGTTTCAGTGCATTGTCGATCTTTACAGTTCCCAAAAGAGCTCAAAAAAAACTCCTATTTTTACTTGCATGCTATGAGTTTCACGAATTTCACAAAGCTCACATTAAAATTTGGCAGATCAAACGATGAATAATACTAACTTATAATCAATCGAACACAACAAAAATAATATAGTTAAAAAAACAATTTCAATCCTATTTTTTTCTTCAGCAAAACAAAATGAAAATCTCTTGAGTTTATAGTGTTTACCATTTAGTCAGCTATTGAGAAGACTTTCCTTTCTATTTACATACTTCATTTTTTTCTGTTTACTGTTCCTATTCTTGAATACTTTCATTCAAGTAAAAACATTCTTGTAGGCTTCTCAACTGTGCATAGTATAAATACATCTCTGTCAACATACCTTGCAAAGAAAACCTATGACTATTGTGCACTTATCAATATTTTGTTTCAGACTGTGTATACATAGAAAAACCATGAAAACTTTTAAAAGTATTCTATAACAAACATAATTTGTTTCATTTTTGAATACATCTAGTCAACCGTTAATGTGGAAGCATAATGTTGTTTTTACGGAGTGAACGTCACATACTGCGTCAGTTTGAGACATTTGTTGCTGCAATCCACTAGTCGATGTAAATAATAAACACACAGAGACTCCTGATAGTGCCTTTTTTGACTTGTGTAATCAAATATGTCGAAAGAAACTCATTTCTTTATAAGAACAGCAGTGTTCTCGATTGAACAATACTTCTCTAATCACAAAGATGCAACAAATTTTGATTCAGATAGTAGCAGCACTGTAAATAATGCTGTCATGATAAATCAATGATTTGATACACTTCTGTTGTTAGATATATTATCTGCATTGTCACAGGCATGAGAAACTGAATGTATTCAAACATTGAGATGAGCCTCCAATATGAGCTCATAAAGCTCAATCTTCATCTCTCAAAATCTTTGGTAATTTAATGCGTCCTGTTTTTTTTTTATCAACTTCTCTATAGGTTAAGACACAATCGATACACAAACTTCTACTTGTGAATGCTGTCCATCACCATAGTGTCAAGCAAAAGCAAAGCCATGTTCTACAAATTTCGACTGCGAATGTTTACTGATGACAATAACTGAAGAAGGAATGTGTATTGACATAGTTGTATTATGTAAAGACTTTGTTCCATGTGAAAATGATAATAAAACATGTTCGGTACCAGATACTATATGTGTCAATAACCCTCGGTGCAGTATTTCTCTTTGTTTTCCCATGAACCATGTCCTTTCTCAACGATGTTCACCATTGATTGCGGGAACTTTAATCACCAATGCAAGTCAGTGTCTTTAACTAGGATGCTAATGAATATTCTCTGAAGGAATGTGGCCATCAGATTTTTATTATCAATTGGTTTAGCATCCAAAAATTAGAAAAAGTCTCTGTTTATGTTTTGCTAATATAGATTTTTGAATCTGATTAGAAATTATCTTCAGCTCCACTATTATCAATATGAAAAAGAAGGCATATCAACGCGTGTAAATGAACCTGAGAAGACAAAGAATTTTCGAGAAAAATTTTTTCTTGGTATATAAAGTTGGTCTAACAACTATTTGTCCATTTCTATACAATCACTTTCTCTTCTTTGTCATTTCAAAACATCATTTTCATTGTTAATTCAATATCTTTATATTATATTGTCTAGTTATCTATTTAAATACACATGCATTCAAAGATACACTTTCCTGTTTTATCTATTTTTGATGCCAATAATATGTGCAGAAATATTTAAGTAACTTCCATAAGAGTCATGGTTGTATTTGCTGCAAGTATCTGACAAATAGAATTACAATGTCGCATAAAACCCAGTTTAGTAAATAGTCAATAGTGATATTATTTCTGTGTAAGAAAGCCACAATAATTGCTATTTCAGTTTTATTGATGCTTTTGAATTAAATCACGATCTTTAAAATATTTGATATCTCGAGAAACACAAGAAAAAACGGGTTTCAACACCTTCTAGAAAACGCTTTAAGAGTTTCTCAAACTTTGAATACCTATTTTCAATTTGGAAAAGTTCTTAAAGACCTTCTATGATCGAGTCGAAAGCCCTTTCGGCATAAAAATAATGGAAAAACCATATTTCTCGGGTAACCGACATTACAGAATTTTTTTGAGTGCAAACAATAGAGATTACGATTTTATGCAATGATTTCGTTAAATTCATATGTCAATAATTCCTTAGTAAAAATAAGTTAGACGCTAGATATTTCAGATTAGTTTTCCTAGGTTCGGAAAAAAATGCACTCTGTGTTTCAATATGTTTTCAAGGATTCATCGTTTTAGTCACCTGGCATCTATTGGTAAACACAAAATTTTCAAAGACTAGAAATTCTATATCAGCTTTCCGTACTCATTAACGGTTCGTCAATGACGGAAGTTATTAGTCGATTGTGTAGACCAGTCAATATGTTAGAAGATTTTTCTGTAATAGACAATTCATCTGCGAAGAATGATGTGAAATTCATAAAAGAATATCTGGCCCTCATGAAAGAACTTTTCTTGTTGAAATATTTCTCAATCAGGTTTATTTAAGAACAAAAGTTACGAAACAAGGGTGTGGATGCACGTTTGGGTCAAGATGAGATCACACCCACATCTTTGAATTTGCATAAAAGTAACGACTATTCATCGCTACTTTCTCTGATGTATTGGGAACGATTAAAGCAATTCATTCTAGCTAAAAAGTCATGAAGCAAAACTTTATTGTGTCACTTACACGAAATAATACTTCCTATGATTTTCACTATTGTGAGCAGATGCCTCGAATATGTCTTATAGATGTTTTATTGTGGTTTTTGTAGTCAATGTCATTGTCATCGTTAGTAAAGCTGCAGACTGCAGCAGTTGGGTTCTTTTAGTAGCAGCATTAGTGAATAGACGGAAAATCATTACAGAGTTTATCTTGTGAATAAAAAACGTCTTCCATTCATTTATTGCTTAACAACAGTGGTGAAGACAATATCATTAGAACTAATACTTCGTAATCGACGGAAGAAGCAGAGGAATGTATGTTGGAACTTCAATGGCTTCTCTTTTTATATAATTGATTGACCTGGTGGCATATTATGATTCTGAAAATTTCGTTTTGAGTTTCGTTAGTGGAATATACTGTGACCTTCTATCGTTTATTTACCAGTAAAGCAATTCAACAGACACTCGATAACATTAGAGAAGGACTGATACAGGTGTTAGCTATGAGTAAAATAGAAACCTTATTCTCATCCGTGCTCACACTGGAGGTCAAAGCTTAACCAAACTTTATTTCTTTAACGTTCTTGAGAACATACAGCTATTAGTCTCGTAAGACTAAAAACTCCATCAATAGTCACAGTAAGTATAACTCAAGAAAAAATGTGATTCAATAAAATGATGATATCAACACTAATAAAAAAACAAAGTAGTGTCTCATCAACAATCATTACGATAACTCAGAAGAAAACAACTAAAAAGAAAAAAGAAGAAATCTAAGAGGAACTGTTTTGCATATCAATATTAGCTTAATAGCTCCCTTACCATTATAATGAAGTTTTTCTCATCAATATCTGCTTGCTTCATTATCATGACGTGTGTATTAATTGCTTCTGTATGGAAATTTTTCAACAAAACAATAATAATAATCAATATGACATAGTTGATCAACATCTCAATGCTATGTGCAACATGATTAATGCAGACACATATAATATCATAAATAAAGATTCCATGTCTGCTACTAATTGATTGCATCAATCAATATTGTTTTTATCACCATTAGTAAAACAACATTGTAATCATACGCATTCATGAACTGATTCGATAGTGATATATATTCTTGTTTTCATATAAATTCATTTAAAGTATTCGTCTCAATCTCGATATTGAACTTTGTCTTAAACTATTTACTCTACACGTAACCGATGTTAGTTCAATGCGAACTATTCGACTATCTTAAGTTTTTAATTATTAATCATACAATTATCTATTCAAATTCCAGAGTACTCATCAGATATGACTATTTGCTTTTTCGTTCATTCTGAATTTGTTTTCAATATTTCAAATCAAAGTATTTTTGTTTTATTTGTACAAAAGAAATGAACATGATTTACAAAATAATGTTGAATATTTGTTCTAATCACCGAGAAAAGACTATGTACATATAAAGAGATACATTGTACACACAGACGGCACGTTGTCTAAGGAAATGCGATATTAACATCACAGTACAGAAAAAAAAAAACATTATTTTTCTTAGTTGATCAAATCAAGTTCGTCGATTATTATTCGTATTTTGTGAGTGTTGCTGACGTGATGAGGATTGATTAGACGAAACAATACTTGCAGCACTAGCAAAAACTGAATTAAATAAACTTGGATCAAATACAGTTGAATTAAGTAATTGAGGATTAGCTAGAGCAGCTGCAGCTAATTGTAATGTTGCTTGATCCCAATGAATCGATTGTGATAATGCTGATGGAATAGCAACTTGAGATGAAAGACCACGATTTGACTATAAGGAATAGAATAAAGAACAACAAGCAAAGTATAAATCGATCAAGTAGTGATGAATAAACTTTAAAAACATCTTTATTTCGAAAGCGTTAAAATAGACATGCACCGAACTGTTCAAGTTCGATCTCAAAAACCAGTAATTTTCAACTAATTAATAAAATGAAGTAGAAGCAAACCAAAAGAAAGGATTTTACAGTTGGCTATGATAAGTCTGCACGTAATAAAATAAATGATTCAAAAACTGAAGGTATTTCCATCGCCGTTTATATACCTCAAGAAACACTTGGTCAATTAACTAAATACTCAACACTATCTCAACATGTTGAATAATTTCTGAACTGATACAAAACCTTTATTTTCAATGAATTTTGAAACTCGTCATCATTCAGTTTACGAGAACATTTTTTAACTGATCAAACACTTTTGAATTAGGATTCTGTGCATAAATTGGATCTCAGTGAGATACGAAAACAATTCAAAAGGATAATGCTCCTTAGATCTTCTGTTCAGAGTTATAAGTATTTTATTGGATTTTTAGCCTCTGGCTTGACATATGCCAATAAATCAAATGAAGATGTCTCGATCTGATTTGAAACTTGAATATTCCGGCAAGGAAATATTCTTTTAAGCTGAAACTTTCAGGGCCCTCTATTGACAAATAGACCTGTCTGCGGACAAAAATCTCAAATTACCATATCGTCATTCGATTTACTGACATATACCACGCCAACAGTTAAAGCTATAGTAAAACATCAATAACTTTCAATAGAAGGTCTAAGAGGACTTATTATTCTGAACTTTTTCAAATCTCACTGGACTCTCTCTTGTACACAAGGTACAAATTCAAAAGAGATTGATCAGTTGAAAACATTCTCTCGTTATTTAATAGAATTGTTAATGATCTCATCAGATTGAGTATTTCGAGAGCAATAAACACCTACAGACCATCTTGAAAAAAATTTATATTTACCTGTTGTTCATGTGTAGAAGAAAAGCCCGTTGTTGAACGTCGTGATGATGGTGAAATAGACGTAGGTGATGCTGTACTTGATTGTGATCGATTTGAAGATGATGGAGTTTTTTGTTGTTGAACCTAAATAAAATATTAAATAAATAAATTTTCCTGTATTTTTTTGTATTAAAAATAAAAAAATCAAACTTGTTGATCAGTTCGATGATGAGTATAATCAGTTGAGGGACGATTTGTACTACTTTTGCTTGAACTAGAAGAACGTTGTGTATGATTTGTTGGACTTTGTAATGTTGTTGTTGTAGGTGGTGGGAGTGGAGGTGGTGGTTTCATAGTTGATGTATTTGTTTTCGTTTTTGGACTATTAAGTGATTTATTCAGCATATTATCAACAGCTAATGGTGACGCAGAAAGTTTTGGTGATGATGAACCAGTTAGAAGAGCCTCTTTAAGAAAAGATCCAGCTGGAGATTTTTCAGATGTAATTTTTGTAGCAAATTGCTGTTGTTGTTGTTGTTGTTGTTGTTGTTGCATGGTTATATTTATTGATGATGTGGATGAAGAAGTTGGTCGTTGTGATAATGATAAATCTTTATGTGAAGAAGAATGAGTATTTATTCTTGAAGTTGAATTTGAGAATTCATTTGAATGTTTTTTATGTTGAGGAAATAAATCCATAGTCAGATCAATAACATTTGAAGAATTTGATGTTGAATTACGTTTAATTATTGAATCGGATTGTGATAATGGAGAAACTATAGCTGGTTTTACTATTGGACGAACAATATCAGTTTTCGTAGATTTAATTGATGACTGTTCCGATGACTAAATAAATAAATAATAGAAAAAAAAATGTATTCTATACAAAACAAACAAAAAACTTACTTGACTAGTTATTGATTCAGTCGGCGTTGAATGCGGTGTATGTTGTTTAATAGGATTAGTTGTAACACGTGTAGCCATTTCTAATGATTTTCCATGAGCTGGATTTGTGGTTGGATGAATAGAAGATTTGATATCATTTGTTTTTAAATTTTGTTGTTGAGAAACTTTTGTTGCATTGATTGTTGGCGCTGGGTTAGGATTTGATATTTTTGATGATGGTGCCGACGACGGCGGTGGTGGTTGTGGAATCGTTGGAGTATCTTTCTTTATTCGTTCAGCTATTGAAGGTGTTGTTGTTATTCGAGTTGCCTAATAAAAAAGAAAAATAAAATTTATTATGAAACAAAATAAAACGTCTACTTGAGATGATTGATTTAAAGGTACATTCATATCTCGTAATGGTCGATATTCAAGTCTAATAACTTCATTAATGATTTTTCTAATTAAAAGAAAAACAAACCATATTAATTGATTGTGTTTTTTTAAAGACATACTTTGCTGTCATCCATCCAGGTTTTTCCCATAATGAGACAATATAATCATGAAGAAATAATTCTAATGAATCTGAATCAAATATTGTCATTGTTTCAAGTTTACGATCAATACAACGAATAATTAATTCACTATAAAATACAATTGCAGAGAAACGATTTGTCAAAATAAGAAAAGTTTTTTCAAAGTACTTTATTGTTTTATATAAACGAAAATTTTTTCTTGGTCCTCGATTTTTATCTTTTGATGGATTTTCAACCATTTTCTTTTGCCATTCTCTAAAATTAAAAGAAACCTTTTAGCATAACCCGGTGAAATTAAAATGTGAAATACAATGAATCTACTAGTATTATAATAGAGGGTATTAATCAATATATGTTGCGGTTTATGATTTCACATCTACTATTCATGCAAGATATTAATCACAATATATTGCAGTGAACATTCATCTTGTGGTTATGTCTGTCATGTCGGGAGAAGCGAGTACAACCCGTCAGGCTAGTGTCACACCCTATTAGACTTTAGGACCGATAAGCTGAATCTAAACTTCTACTGCTATTCTTCGACATTCCTTTCAGATCGTGTTTCACAAAACTATTAATTTATTTATTCAAAAGAATAATTTCAAAAATAACAAACTTTATTGCTTGATTATGTGCTTGTATGTGTGATTCTAATGAACGATTAACTTCAATTTTTAATTTGTCTCGAAGTTCATTTAATGACATTGATACCACCAATGGTTCATAATCATTTAATAATAATAATCGACCTCGTGTTATTAATAATGAAGCACATATACCAGTTTTTGTACTTAAAATATCAAATACTAATTGTCGATTAGCATTTGTATGACGATGAAGTTTTTTTACCAAACTTGAAAGTAAAACAGAAAAATGTTTTCAAAATATTTTCTTTAAAAATTATTATTTACTCAAGTAATTCACGACACACAGTAGAATCAAAAAGACGTTCAATCTTCTTTTGAGCATTAGTATTTGTTTGATCAGATGAAATTAACTAAATAGAAAAAAAAAATTCAAAGATTTAATCAAAAACAAAAAATTAAATAAAAAACCAACTTTGGATAATTTTTCGATCGATTGTTTAATATCATTGTCTATTTCATTTGGTAAAACATATGTTACTGCATTTGGTATAGATTGTTCATTAATTGTTTCACTTGATTTTTTAACTTTTTTAACTGTTTCGTCGACTGGCTTGCTGTTATTAATTTGATCATCAAAATTGGTTGTTAATGAAGGTGTTTCAATATCAGATATACTTCTAAAATAAAATAATACATTATAAAAAATCAACAACGAATTCAAATTCCATTAGATTTTTTTTTTCATAGGATCATTTTCGCTTATAGAAAGCGCAAATTCCTGATTGATATCATTCTTTTTTTTTTGTATTGAATTCTAATTTTTAAAATAAGTGGATTAACTTCAATGAACAAAGTCAATCTTATCTATAGTATAAATATTTCTTATTGGAAATATTCAATCAGATATTTTTCAAGCAAGCCAATATCAACAAAACTAGTTATCGAAGACAGCGTAACTGATCTGCCTGGAATTCTCACTAGAGATAAGCACTAAGACTAAGAAGATACATGTACGAGGAAAAACAATATTTAAACCAAGTTTTCGAACATTTATGACAGATACTTGAAAGTATTCTATAGAATTGAAATTGATCGTTTTTGGTTTTAATCTTCCTATCTGGATTTTTAGAGTTTTGAACACCAATAATCTGGTGTTGGATCCAAACTTTGATATATTTAGCTCAAAAAAAAAACATCTTTGAAATATCTTCGAAGATAACTTCGAACAGTACTCAATCTATACCGTTCTTTAAAAATTCTTTTCTTCGAACATGTATATTTTTATTTTGGAGTCCTTATATCTGTAATAGAAATTTCGGGTGGATTGGTTTTATCCTTCTCGAGAATGAGATGATTCTAGAAATATTCTGAAAGTTTCAGGCGAAGAGAATATTCCTTTGCCGAAATACTGAATTTTCAAATAAACTTAATTTTTGTGGTGAACGACCAGTTTTTCGGAAATTCAATATCTTGACAAAGGAATATTCTTTTCGGTTAAAACTTTTAGACTGAAAATTCCATAAAATGATTATAACTCAACACCAGATATTCATAGGCGCACGACCGCATTTAGAATTTTGTTAATCTTACTAAGACCTCTTTATGAATGTAATATAAGTTCAAACGGTGAGTACTAGTTTGGACAATTTTTCCATCAGATCAATGATTTAATAGATGACATACCGTTTTCGTTTGATATTTGGTAATTTTGGAATTGCATTATCATCTGTTTTAGCCTTTTTTGCATTCTAAAAAATATATTATATATATGAATTTATAATATATCATAATCATAATAACATACTTTTTCATTTAAATCTTCTTGATTCTAACAAATGAACAAGAAAACAAATATAATAAAACCGTTTTTTTTTTTTCGTTTAATAATACATACATTATTAATTATCTTTTTTTCTTTTCCTTCTTTCTCACTTTCACTTGATTCATCATCATCGTCATCATCACTATCATCAATTTCTTCATCTTCACTATTTGATTCACTCGAATCACTTAAATATCGAGCTTTAATTGGTTGATGTTTTTCATTAACATAAAATCCATCTCGTTCATTTGTCATATTTTTTGGTATTATATCTTGTGCAGCTGTCGAATCATCAATAAATGAATCATCATTTTCTGGATCATTATAACCAACACCTAAATTAGCATTTTGTTGATCATTATAATCCATTAATGCACGAATTATATCAGATAATGATGCATTATCATCAACAATAGTCTTAAATATAAAAATATTATATGAAAAACAAAAAGCATTAAAAGAAAAAAACAACACTTACATCACGTTCAGAAAGAATTTCTTTAACGCTTTGTTTTCCACATGCTTTAACATAAGAGCTAAGTACTAATTCCAAACTTTCTTTATCATTTTTCTAACAAAAAAACAAAAGACAACTATTGAATAGAAAAGATGGAATGAAAGGTAAAATATATCTTACAAATTTTGAATCATTTGCAATTAAATCTAAAAAAGATATTTCTTGTGGATTACTATCAAAATTGATTGGTAAATTTAATTTTATTTCATAACACAATGTTGGTAATTGTGATAAATCTCGAGTTTTTTTTCCTGGCAAAGACATCTGTAAAAAAAAAGAAATAAAATAAGAGAAGAAAACGAAATTTTTCATGCAATCATATTTTATTTTGTTTATTTAAAAAAATAAGAAAGGAAATTATGTGGTTTGCTGATATTAAATTAATTGATAGATGATCAACGAATGGCTAAGATAGAAGTGAATTGAAATATATTTTTATTTTGTCATAGATGTCACTTTAATGTAGCATAGAAGAATTCTTCATCATCTTCTTTGATTTTATTTTCACCATCTGTTACTTGCACTTTAAGTGTAGGTAAAAGTTCCATATTATATTCATTTGGTGTTGAATTATCTACAGGAATAAACGTATCAATTTCTGAAAATGGTAGTCCTGAAGGCTTGAAACGAGCATAGAGAGCTCCCGATGTACTTGGAAAATCACTTGTAGTCATCATAGTAGATGAACGTTTTGTTCGACGAGTACCTACTATACTACTATTAGTTGAAAATGATTCATGTGTTCCGCGAACATGATGAATAAGTAAAGCGATTCCTACTATTAATATAGCAAATGCTAAAATTGGACCCGTAAGAATGACTATCAATGGTTGATAGTTTGAATAGTTCATTTTAAATTGTCCATCAGGAATTCCTAACAATGCATCATTATAAGATGTAGAATTAATTTCAGTATGATTATTATTAACCAGACTTTCATTAGCTAGAGTATTTGTTGTGCAATTTTCACATAATGATAAACTTGTTTTATTTGATAAAATTAACATATCTGTTGAATTTACAACAATTATTTGTGTTGTCGAAGTTATATCAATTGATTCAGTTTTGTTTTCGGTTTGTGAATTTCTTATATGAGATATTGTTTCATCAATAGGTATTATTTTTGGTATTATTGTTCGAATCGGTTCACATTGACAAACAGGATGACCACCATTGTTACAATGATAAAAAGTTGTAAATGAACCTGTTAAACGAGCAAAATAACGTAAAACACATTCATTTGGATCATTTCTATCACCAAAAAGTAATCGTAACCAATGTTTTCTATTTGATGCATCTATTGATTCAATAAGTAATTTATTTTCTAATAAATAATAAAAAAATTCAATTAAAATATCAGCTAATGTTCGACCAAGAAATCTCGTTGCATTTATATTTCCCCATTCATGTGAATCATATTTAACAAGCGTACTATTTGGATGTTGATTATAACATAAACGTTCACCTGATCGAATATTATAAATAAATGATGAATGGACATAATAACATATTTTATTAAATAAAACAAATTCTGATGGACATGATAATATTTCATCAACGATTAATTCTGATTCATTATTTCTAAATATATATATATATATGTCAATTGCTTATTTATAAAAATAACTATTGATCTTTCTTAGTCTGAACACATAAGAAAAGAAAACATGAGTTCATAATATCTAATCAATAGCAAGATAAATAATTATTAGATTATCAATCAGTATAAGAAGTTAACAATGGTTTCTAATCAAAATAATTGTCAAAGTTTAGAAAAATATTATTAATATGAAAATTAATAAAGAAAAGTAGTCAAGCATATGCAAATACAACCATTATTCTTTGAAGAATTATCAAAAATGTTTTAGTCTTGTAGAAACTACTTCTCTATGATTTAATGTAGTTGTCACAATAAATAGTTAAAATGTTTTAGACAAAATATTTCATAAGTCATCTGTTCGAATCTCACTACCGGCTATTTCCAAAATGATGATATTCCGAGTCTGATTATATTTCTATGATTTTCAAAACTTATCAAATAAACTACACAATTGATCTTATCTGATTGGATATACCGGTATTATGCATATCTACATACGTCATTTTAAATTCTTCTTCATATGAAATTGCTGATTCAAAAGGTTTTTGTGCACATAAAATATAACCAGGTGACTGTACAGCATTACATTGAATCAGTTCATATGAAATATTATTTGATTCTGTTCGAATAATAATCATACAAAAATTATTTGACAATGATGTTAGATTTTCAGATTTTAATAAATCATCAAATATATATGTTGAATTGTGATTAATCCAAATAAATGTTTTTATATGTGTTATCCATGATGATTCAATTAAATAATTCCATTGTTCATATGTTTTTATAACTAATGGTAAACATTTGTGTTCATTATTTGTTATTGAAAAATCCATTTCTGTTTGAAGTAAAATAGATGTAAAACACATATAAAATGTTCTATCGAAAACAAATGAAATTGAATTTAATGTCGAACAATAATGTTGAACATCAATTTTAATTAAAGTATCAATATTTGTTTTTGAATAATATTTTTCACATAAATTTGAAAATCCATGACATATATATGGAAGAAATGAACAATGTATTAATGGTTTTCGTAATGCGATGGGTTTAATTGTTTGAGAAATTTTAACAGGTACACAATAACAAGATTTTTTACGTGATAAAAAAAATGAAAAATAATTTATACGACGATTTTTTCGACAATGTTTTTGACATAAATCCATAGCTTGAATATAATCAACATCACTTAACCATAGATCAACACGAATTGTCTGAATACCATATAAATAATAACAACCATCTAATGACCAATCATCGCTTGTTGATGATAATAACGTTGGCAATATATAAAGATCATTAGTTAAAGAATAAATTTTTATATCATTTGATGTACAATTATTAATTGGTAAAAATTCACCTAGATATTCATTGAATTCATATGGTTCATTGATTGTATATAAACAAATACAATTTGTTTGATTATTAAACATTAATATAGTCCACCGTCGACAAAGACGAAAACATAATTCAATTGTCATATGTGAACTAGAGAATGTTTGATAAGATAAAAGAGAATTTTCTTGAATATTATTAACAATAAATTTTTTATCTGATTTTAATATTAAACAACCAATTTGAGAATATTTTTTTATTGATAAATCTTCTTGACTACTTAATGACATTACAAAATTAATAGAATAGAAAAAGAATAATAGTAACAACATAGCTTGTTTTTGTTTTGTTTTATTAAATAAAGAAGAAAAGAAAATTTTTCGACAGTATTATATTTTGATAAAAAGAAAAAGAAGAGATGGAACAGTTGTTCTATGAGATATTAAATTTCGCAAATGCGTATGCTTTGTTGAGTTTATTTTCTTGATTGAAGTCTCACAATGACGTTATAGTCAGAACAAATTAAACCTTAATAATTTAGTTCTTATCTACAAATGTGCACTTAAATTATTGCAATAGAAGTGAACATGGATAGAACGTTTGACGTGTAAATCAATATCTTGGCTTTGAAAATATTGTACTCTAGTGAAGTTTATTGTTCAGAGTTTCATAAAAGATGTAATGAGTAAGTCAGTAAGAAAGCATCATAAAAAATATTTATCACTTTTTCTTGTAAGTAATTTATAATCATTTCGAACTCTATCTCTAGATCGATATTTTAAGTTTCTATTGATCTGTTTTGTGAAACTTACGTATATTTTCGAAGAAAATAATGAGTGTAAGTTTTAAGTTCAAGTTTTTGCGGCTTTTCCTACCCATTACAGATCTCAGCAACCGCGCACAAAAGGCTTCAGATTTATTTAACAATAAAAAAAAACTACTTGAACAGTATGAAGAATATGAGTTCGACTGCTATAGAATATTTCAATGCTTTCATAATTATTTGAAAAAAAACTATTTTTCAGTTTACAAATGATGCATTAAAATAACAAGCTTGCAGGATATACGTGAGTTCCACATTTCAGCTCCAAAGGAGCTGCGCTAACAAGCTTTTTGTAATTATATCTTATTATTTTCTACACAATGAACTGTATTCTTAACAGGATATATTAATGAATAAAGCATATGCTCAGTAATTTAACATTAAGAATATACTCTATTATTACACTAACAACCATTAACCATTGGAAAGAAGCAAAGTAATTATTTTTTTTTGTGCCTTCAGTTATATATTCTTAATATAGAAACTCTTCCTTGAAAGTCAATCAGATCTAAATTATCATGAAATCTATCTATTATTGATTATTTTGTATGTAAAACTTAAAGGTTAATGCCTAGAGGGTCAATTATCTTCTGTTTATTATATATTAAACAAATCGAACAAATTGATAGCGTCGTCTTGCGAATAGAATTTGCAATGGTAGAATCACAATGGCCAATAGGATTTATCGTTTCTGATGTAAGCAAAAAACAAGCACGAGGTCAATACGTATTTCAACAATAAGAAATGAAATTGAATATATTCAACAAGTAATGGCCTGTCAAGTCAGTAGCACTTCAGATGTACATTTATCATCAATAATAAAAGACAATGAAACTGAACATGAATGTTGTATTTGTTTATATGATAAGTAAGTAAATTAAATGAAACTTTAAATTTATCTAAATATTTTTCTTTTAAAAGTAATTTAACTATTGTATTCGATTGTAATCATCATGTATGTCTTTCATGTTTTAAACAATATGCTATAACAAAACTTAATAGTCGTCAATTTAAATATGATTCAAATATTGGATATAGTCTTGGATGTCCATGTGGTTGTCCAAATACACTTCTTCATGAATTACATATTTTTCGTTTAATGGATAAATCAAATGTATGTATATTCAAAATAAATATACATAGATTTAAAATTATTATTTATTATTAGTATGAACGATATAAAACATTTGGTGCTGAAGAATATGTATTGTATCATCAAGGAGTTATTTGTCCAGCTCCATCTTGTGGTTGTGGACTTATATTTGATGAAAATAATTTAAAAATACTTTGTCCATTACCTATTGGTTGTGGAGTAAGATAAAAGATATATTTATTTGATTTCAATTTTTTAAAATTTTTATTTTAGAAAACATTTTGTCGAAGTTGTAAAAGGCTTTGGCAAGATGATACAATTCGAACTTGTCCATGTCAAGATGATAGACAAAATAATAATCAAGCATTTTCAGTAAGATGATTCTTAGAAATACGCATTATAGTTTTATG